GTTCATACTTTTCATCATGCTGAGCAAATTTGGCCCCTGAAAGACCCCCAACCCCCCCAAAGACACATTAATTCTGTCTGTTTCTGATTGCTGTATCTTCACTGCTCCACTTTCACTAGCCTGTGTTCTCTCAGCCTCGCTCTTCATCCCTCCTTTCTCTGTCGCCCAGCCAGCACTGTTTTTACTGCACACTCCCTCTGAAGGTGTGTGTGCGTGTGTGTGTGTGTGTGTGTAGTTGGCGGTTTGTTTGTTTTGTCTCATTATTTTCCCCTTGCGCGATAATGACAGTATACAGATATCTGTCTGCCAAAGAGAGTTTGCCAATTACAGAGAATTCGACAATTATCAAATGTTTCTCTCTCTCTCTCTCTCTCTCTCTCTCTCGGGCTCTCGCTCCTGTTTGTTGTTGGTTCAGGTTGAAAGCTGCCGCGTTGGGCTGGTTCTGATTGATTTATGAATGTGTGCCTGAAAGGGCCATCTGTTTATCATTTCCAAAACACTGAGGTGACTTATGGAGGAATTTGATTGTATTTTTGATTGCTTTAACAAACACATGCTATATGGACAAAAGTATTGGGACACCTACAACAGTAGGTGTCCCAATTGGGACAGCTTTTGTGAATCCCATTCTAAATCCACAGGCATTAATATAGAGTTGGTCCCCCTTTGCAGCTGTAACAGCTTCCACTCTTCTGGGAAGCTTTCTACATGAATTTGGAGAGTGTCTGTGGGAATTTGTGCTCATTCATCCAGAAGGACATTTGTGAGGTCAGACGCTGATGTTGGACGAGAGGGTCTGGCTCACAATCTCCATTCTAGTTCATCCCAAAGGTGGTCGATGGGGTTGAGGTCAGGGTTCTGTGAGGGACAGTCAAGTTCTTCCACACCAAACTCACCCAGTCAGGCCTTTATGGAGCTGCTTTGTGCACTGGGGCTCAGTCATGCTGGAACAGAAAAGGTTCTTCCCCAAACTGTTCCCACAAAGTTGGAAGCATAGAATTGTCCAAAATGTCTTGGTCTGCTGAGGCATTAAGATTTCCCTTCACTGGAACTAAGGGTCCTAGGCCAACCCCTGAAAAACAACCCCATATCATTATCCCTCCTCCACCAAACTCTACAGCTGGCACAGTGCAGTCAGGCAGGTAATGTTCTCCTGACATTCGCCAAACCCTGACTCGTCCATCAGACTGACAGATAGAGAAGTGTGATTCGTCACTCCACAGAATGTATTTCCACTGCTCCAGAGTCCAGTGGCAGCACTTTATACCACTCAATCCGACACTTGGCATTGTGGATTTTGATCTTAGGCTTGTATGTAGCTGCTTAGCCATGGAAAACACTGGCGTCCACGTAGTTCCACCTCACTGCTGTACAGTTAGAGACTGTAGCTCATCTGTTGATGTATGGTTGGTGTGATTTATCCTCCAGTCCTTCATCAGGGGTCAGTTTCTGACCACAGAGCTGCTCTAGGTTGGATATTTTTGTGTGGTGGTCTGCTCTCAGCCTAGCAGTGACACTGATGTGCATGATGCACCCGCACAAGCACTGCACACACTACCATGTCAGTGTCACTGCTGTGCTGAGAATGAACCGCCATCCAAATTATATCTGACCAGCAGCAGCTCTGTGGTCAGAAACTGACCAGTGATGCACTGTGAGCACATTTCCAGCAGAGTACATTTCACACACCACCATTCACATTCAGTGCTGACTGCTGCTCATGAACACAGCTGAGATGAGAGCGTTAGTGAAGACTCGCTGTGTGTTTTCCTTCAATGTTTTACTCCTTTACTCCTTCACATCTTTACTTCTTCAGTCCTTCACTTCTTAACATCTTTTTTCTTTTACTCCTTCACTTCTTTAATCTTTATCTCTTTACTCTTTGCTCCTTTATTGCTTTGCATCTTTACTTCTTTACTCATTCATTTATTTACTTTTTACTTCTTTACTCTTTACTTCTTTAATCTTTACTTCTTTAATCTTCTTTAATCTTTACTTCTTTAATTTTAACTTCTGTAATCTTTACTTCTTTACGCTTTACTCCTTTACTTCTTTAATCTTTACTTCTTTACACTTTACTCCTTTACTTCTTTAATCTTTACTTCTTTAATTTTAACTTCTGTAATCTTTACTTCTTTACGCTTTACTCCTTTACTTCTTTAATCTTTACCTCTTTAATTTTAACTTCTTTAATCTTTACTTCTTTAATCTTTACTTCTTTAATTTTAACTTCTTTAATCTTTCTTCTTTAATCTTTACTTCTTTATGGTTTACTCCTTTACTCCTTTACTTCTTTAATCTTTACTTCTTTCCTCTTTTACTCCTTTTCTTCTTTAAATTAATTTATTTCTTTACTCCTTTACTTCTTTTTGTCTTTTTTCTTGTATCTTTTATTTTATTTCTATTACTCATCTTTCTTTCTTTCTTTCTTTCTTTCTTTCTTGCTTTCTTTCTTTCTTTCTTTCTGTCATTTTTCTTTGTTTCTTTGTTTATTTCTTTGTTTCTCCATCTCTGTCTTTTGTAATCTCTTTTCACATGTTCCTTTGTTTCTGTATCATTTGCTTCTTTCTTTTCACTATCTCTCTATTTGTCTCTCTCTCTCTCTGTCTCTCTCTCTCTCTCTCTCTCTCTCTCTCTCTGTGTGTGCAGTGTGCTGAAAGCTGTGTAATTGTGTTATTGTGCAGCTGGACTGCAGTAATTAGTGTAACACATCCTGAATCTCACCTTCACTCTGACTCTCCTGCAGGACTCACTCACTGCATCTGTTTATAACAGTCCATAATCCACTCATAAGGCTGTGTTTCAGTTTGGTTTTAGCTTAAAGAAAGTTTGATGTTCTGTTTTAGTTTCAGTTTTAGTCTCTGCTGCTTCTGCTTTGTTCTCGTCTCCCAGACTTACAGGAACAATCTGGCAGAAAATCAAATGGGCACAGTGTTTCCTCTCACTCCAAATGAAGTCAGTCAGCCAGAACTTGTTTGGTGTCTGAGGTTGGCTTCTTTAGTTTTGTACTGCGGCTAGGAGGCTAATGTAGTTGACTAGTAATGGAAGCTTAGGCTCATTAGCGTTATCATCATGTAAACTGTGTGGCTAAATCACATCAGATTTCACTCAAACCACATTCAGTAATCTCAAGACTTTCTTATGTGGATTCCCACACTGTCTGATATTCCGGTATCCATAAAAATGGACGGAAGTACATCGCATAGCTGAAAACAGCAGAGGTGGCCATCTTAAAACCTGAATTAGCTCCATATGTTTGTCTGTTTTCATAAATAACAGCGTGACAAACACAAACTCCTTCACTGATCAACTATGTTTGGGATAAGAAGGATAAGATTTCATTTCCTGCCAATTATTTCTATCCATTTAAAACCTTAGCATGTCCACTCTTTCCTGCATGACCTCTCAAATGCCTGTTTTTTTTCTTCCACCCTTTCCAGACCACGAACGCTTCTGTTTCTTCCTACTCATCCAGTCCATCCTCCTCTTTATATTCATTTTTCTACCATTGCTGCTCCTCCTTTCATTGCTTTCAACACTTTTTCTGCTTGTCTTTACCCTCCATCTCTGCGTTCAGCTCCTCTTCCTCTCTTCCTTCCTCTCTCCATTCTTTGTCCTTCTTCTGCCCTGCTTTCTCTCAATCGTCCAGTTCGTCCTTCAAAGACATTCCTATGCTTTCACCATGAGGTTGCCCTGATGGTAGATTTCTCAAGCTTCTCTTCCCCTCTCTTTCCATCTTTCTTTCTTTGTTCTGCCATTCTTTCTATCACGCTTTCCTTTCCATGCCTGGAACCTCTTCATTCAAAGACGTTCTAAATCCTATCAAACCGGAGAACTTGTCAGGAATCCATTCTAAGAGTTCCTTGAAGGTCTCTTGAACTACCGCATGTCTATCACCGCATAAAAGAAGCACAAGGCTTCCTTCGTTGTGGGACGCACTTGTTTTATCCGAGTTTATCCGAGGTTTTTCAGAATGCAGTTCAAGTCCGTAAGCTGTTATTATTCAATGAATGATAAACCAATAAAAAGACTGACTTATATTCCTATTCACATGTTTTGTTGTTGAAAAATGTCATTTGTAGACAAAACTAATTAAAAATCTGCTAATTTCTTGCTTTGATAGATCACGTTCTTTATATATTAAGTGCAACAACAACATTGAGTGTGTTTGCATGCACTTCATAATCCGATCATAATCAGATTTCTGCAGTTAACTGGTTATTCAAATGGTCATGTAAACAGCACACTCTGTTTTTGTAGATTGTTGTAAGGTCTAGAAATCTGATTAAGAAGTCCAATAAAGAAAAGCTGGGTTTTAGCTGAGTAATCAGATTTCTCAGTGCATGTAAGCTCTTACTCTGATTTCTTTCGGATTTCTCACTGTGTGAAACAGACAGCAGTACCGTAAATAAATGACTAGAAATAAGTTAAATAATCTTAAAATAAGCTTACAACAATCTCCACAGGAGAAATATTAGATTTATTGACAGATTTAAGATCATTTTACTTGACAAGACACCATTTTTTTGCAGTGGATTAAAAAGATGAGCGGAATAAGTGGCACAAATACATGTTTTTGCATTGGCCTTTAACTTTCGAAGCTACTGTTATCACCAGCAATAAGAAAAGCATGCTGTACTTATATATTCATTATTGCTCACTCGTTCACTGAAACATGCAAAGAAGTGCATTTTCTAAACTGTCAATGCACAACACACTTACGTTTATAAGTAGAAGATATTTTATTATGATTTTGAATTTGATTGAAGCTTTTCAACTCAACCCCTCCCCACATGTTTTTTCCCATTTTTTTAAACATTCTCCATTCTCCTTGGCCTCCATCTTCTCTTCTTCTTCCGTCTTTGTTTGAACCTTCATTTTTTTACGGTTCCTATATTCATCCAAACATTTGTCAACATAATGTTCTCACTCCATTCTACTTCTTCCATACCTTTTAACCAACCTCCCCACCCTCACTGACCCCTCCACCCCTCTTTCAGCACCCTCGATGTCCAGTGGCCAGCCTTTGGGTCCCACGCTGGGCCTGTACAAGTCCAGCTCTCTGGAGAGCCTGCAGACAGCAATGGAGGAGGCCAGCAAGAGCGAAGTGCCCTTCCACCGACCCACCACGAACATGGTGCGCGGCCGTGGCTGCAACATGAGCTTCAGACAGGCCATCGACAAGTCCTATGACGGGCCGTCCGAGCCTGACGACGGTAAGAGCACAGTCACTTACGCTGTCAGCTGTTAATGCTTTTACATACTTCATGTGTATAAAAATAAACTACATGAACATGCAGAGTATTCAGAAACAGGGGCACAGGAAGCATACCTCTCTACAGATATTACTAGAGTACACACACTACAGATTCATACTGGATTAAAATCACTGCACAATTATTACTGTCAGACTGTAAAACTACACACACTGCAGATTCATACTGGATTAAAATCACTCCACAATTATTACTGTCAGACTGTAAAACTACACACTGCAGATTCATACTGGATTAAAATCACTTAAACAGTAACACGAGCGTAACCGCGATGATAAAGTTGTATTTACAGCAGCATTATTTGCAAAGGCAACAGTGTAAGTCAGCAATCACAGTAATAAGGCATTAATGAAAAGCATGTGCAGTGAATACTGAAGCAGACCGACTACTGTGGGTTTAAATGAGAATGTAACGAGCTGTGCCAGACATATGGTTAGCGTTAGCCGGAGCGCATACCGAACTAACACTCGTTCTCAAAAATGCGCTTTGAGCCTCATTGTAATTCCGCTCCACGTCACGCTTCACTCTGACTTATTTCAGAGCCCTAACGCTGAAACTTTCAGGAGCCCCGCCGCGTTCGCTGCCATTACCGGAGCTTTAAGCACGCTAATGCGCTAATTAAACGAGCTGTTCTTCAAGACTCGTTTCAGCTCTCAGGAGTTTTTATTAGAACTCGGGCGAGTGAGCTAAAAACACCAGCACTGAAACTGGACTGAGAAATCACTGAGTCAGCACACTGACCAGCGTGTTAGCCACAGTGTTCTGTACCACTACGTAACAGTACAGCTGGACAACAGAGAGAGAGAGAGAGAAAGACAAAGAAAGTAGGAGAAAGAGATAGGGAGAAAAAGAGAAAGTGCAGAGAAGAGGAAAGAGAGAAAGAAGAGAGAAATAAAAGGAGAGATAATGGAAGGAAAGAGAAACAAAAGATGGAGAAAGAAGGGAGAGAGATAGAGGAAAGGAAAGAGAGGAGAGAGGGAAAAGAAAGAGAAAGTGGGAGAAAGAGAAATGGAGAAAAAGAGAAAGAGGAGAAAAAATAGATAGAGAGAGAAATGGATGCAGAAAGAAAAGGCAAGAAAAAGAAAGATGGATGGGCAGAAAAAGGAAGAAGAAGGGTGGAGAGAAGAAGAAGGACCGACAGATAGAAAAGAAAAAAGAAATAAAAGGAGAGATAGTGGAAGGAAAGAGAACAAGAGAGAAACAAAGAGGGAGAAAGAAGGGAGAGAGATAGAGGAGAGGAGAGAGATAATGCAGGAGAAAAAGAGGAAGAGAGATGAGAGAAATGAAGCAAGAAGAAAAAGACAGAAAAAGAGGGACAGAGGAGAGGAAATAGAGTGAAAGGAGAAAGAGTTGGAGAGAAAAGAAAGAGAGAAAATGGAGGAGAAAAAGAGGAAGAGATGGTGGAAGGAAATGAGAAAGATGAAGGAAGAAAAGGAAAGAGACAGAAAGAGATAGAGGAAAGGAAATGGAGGGAAAGGAAGAGGAATAAAGGAGAAAGAGTGTCAGAGATTAATGCAGAGAGAAAAAGGAGAGAGTGGAAAAAGAGAAATGGATGGGCTGAAAGAGGAAGAAGAAGGGTGGAGCGAGGAAGAAAGAGAAAGCGACAGAAACGAAGAAAGAAATAAAAGGAGAGATATCGGAAAGAAAGAGAAAAACAAATGAGGGAGGGAGATAAACAGAAAAAAGAAGGAGAAAGAACAGAGAGAGATAGAGGAGAGGAAAGAGAGGTGGGAGGAGAGAGACATAATGAAGGAGAAAAAGAGAAAGAGACAGATGAAGAAAATGAGAAAGATGAAGGAAAAAAGAAAGACACAGTAAGAAAGAGATAGAGGAAGGGAAATGGAGTGAAAGGAGGAGGCATAAAGGAGAAAGAGTGGGAGAGATGGAGAGAGAGAAAAGGGAAGAGACATAGAAGGAGAGAGATGGATGCAGAGAGGGAGGAAAGGAGAGAAAGAAAAACATTGGGAGAGAGAGATGGAAGAAAAAAAGAAAAAACAAACAAAGAAGAGATGGGCAGAAGAAAAGATGAAGAAGTGGGAGAGAGAGGGATAGAGGAGTGGAAGAAGAATGAGACAAAGGGCAGAGAAAGCAAAGGAGAGATGGAGAGAGATGATAGAGGGAGAAAGAGGAAGAGGTGGAGAAGTAGAGAGAGAGACAGAGGAATAGAGAGAGGGAGAAAGAGGTGAAGAGAGATAGAGAGGGAGAAAGAGGTGGAGAGAGAGACAGAGAGACAGAGGGATAGAGAGAGGGAGAAAGAGGTGGAGAGAGCCAGACAGAGGAAGAAAGAGGTGGAGAGAGAGACAGAGGGATAGAGAGAGGGAGAAAGAGGTGGAGAGAGATAGACAGAGGGAGAAAGAGGTGGAGAGAGAGATAGGGAGAGAGACAGAGGGACAGAGAGAGAGACAGAGGGATAGAAAGAGAGAGAGACAGAAAGAGAGACAGAGGGAGAAAGGTATAGAGAGAGATAGAGTGATAGAAGACGGAGAAAGAGGTGGAGAGAAGAGAGAGAGACAGGGATAGAGAGGGAGAAAGAGGTAGAGAGAGACAGATGGATAGAGAGAGATAGAGGGATAGAGAGAGGGAGAAAGAGGTAGAGAGAGAGACAGATGAATAGAGAGAGATAGAGGGATAGAGAGAGGGAGAAAAGTAGAGGGATAGAGAGAGGGAGAAAGAGGTAGAGAGAGAGACAGAGGGATGGAGAGAGAAAGACAGAGAGAGATAGAGGGATAGAGAGAGGGAGAAAGCGGTGGAGAGATAGAGAGAGAGAGAGGGAGAAAGCGGTGGAGAGATAGAGAGAGGGAGGGAGGGATGACTACAGAGTCTAACAGTACAGCATGTTCTGAGGCTGCAGTGCTAAATGAAGAAAGACAGGCTTGTTTTAAACACATGAGCCAAGAATCTGCTCTGCTTTAATGAAAGTGTTTGCTGGCTGGACGGTTCTGCTCTGAAGGCCAGACGCCGGGCAGTGGATCTGCTGGCCTGCTCTAAAACTGGCCACTGTTTATGAATCTGTCTTCCTGACTTTCAGCTACTTTCAAAAGGTTACCACAATATTTCTTCATTTCCTTTAATATTACATTCTCCCCAATATTTCTCCTCCCCTTCGGCCCGTTGCTCACCGCACTCTGGACAAACAAACAGAGTGGACAGTTGCTTCTTTATGTGCACTGCAGAGGAAAAACATTACCCTTGTGAAAACAAGGCTTGTGAAAATGTTTCTTTTTTTTAAGAGATAATGAAGGTTAATGTTACAGTACATCAAGAGTACATCACTGAAAACCAACCGGGGATTTTGGAGAAACTGGTAAAAGTGGACCATAGATGGTCATTCAGAGCAGTTTAATGTGAAAATCTCCATTCTAGATAGTTGACCACGTTGAGTTGACTGCGTTTAGATCTTCATATCTGCCCCTTCCTCCATTGTTTTGTAGATTACTCGGATGACAGCTCAGGCAGGGACACTCCTGCCAGTGGCTCCTCGCGCCAAGAGCTCGAGGACGGGGCTAAGGAGAAGAAGAAGAAGACCAAAAAGAAGAAGGAGAAGAAGAACAAGGCCAAGAAGAAGGATGAGGTGGTAGAGGACCCGGAGAAGAAGACCAAGAAGAAGGGATTTGGACTGTTGAGGTAGGAGACAGCGGCCTCTAAAGAGCTAACATCGACTTGCTTAAGTTAACGTTCCCCTTAAGAAAACGCTTTAGGGCTACTTAGAGTTAAGTGAGTTACAGAATAAGACCTTAAGTACTCTTAAGTGGCTTCTTATATCGTTCACCTTCAAATATTGGTGATGCCTTCAAACCAAAACACCACTACTGAGAACAGAAAGACAGTGATGACAGTCTCCACACTGGAAAATTAACCAATTAAAAAAATGTAAACGCTTTCTACCTAATCTTCATGGTTTAAAGTGAGTTTTAAGTATTTAATGTGAACTAGCATTTAATGTAGTGTTCTGTAGCATCCCTACAGAAATGTGAGGTACAAACTCCAAAGTGCTTATTTTGGGTAAAATGATCAAAGTACCAAGACAGTCTAGCTAAATTACACAAGTTCTAGTTGTTGACTGGTTAATGACAGTAAGTCCCAGCCTGTGGCCGATCTCACCATCCCTCTTCCCATCACTCGTGAACAAGACCCTGAGATACTTAAACTCCTTACCTGGAGAGAATATGCCATCCTTTTAATAACCTAGCATGCTGAAGTCTGTACCTCACACTTACCTGGTTAATATTGAGGTTAACCATTTCATAGTACAGTGCGTAGTACATTACCATATCAAGCTGATCATGCATCCGTACTCTAGTTACCTCTAATCAGTATATAAATGACGTATCGAAGTGTTTCAGTCACTGAAAGAACTGCAAGAAAGCCCTGGATGCTGATTGTTGTTGTTTTCCTCACTGCTGCTTTATTCCTGGTTGGACACAACCCATTACATCTCTAAACCCTTACTTGCTATATTCCCAATGAGCCTTGAAAATTGTCTTTCATTTTTTTGTGAGTTCATTTTCGAAACACAATAAAGCCTTTCCATTGTGCACCACAATTGTAGACGTGCTAATTGCACTGTGTTCAAGTGTTAAAATACTTTTCACAGCTTTTAAATCTGCTTTCTAATGTGCCAAATTGTTGATTGTTGCTTTGAGAGAACATTGTGTCAGTTTTAAGAGAACACTTCCTCCTTCAGTCTTACAGCATGGCTGAAATCAATTATGTCCAAATTATTCATGGCATTAAGGAAGTACATCTGCCAGCAACTTGAGTTTGTCCACCGACCCTTTTAAGAGGCTTAAAGCAGCAAAGGTTTGAAATAGCTATACTGCTGACCCAGTGATGCTTAAAGCAGCAAAGGTTTGAAATAGCCGTACTGCTGACCCAGTGATGGAAGGAAAGGGCAACGGCGCTCAGGTGAGATTAGAGAGGGCCCCCTGGCGCAGCTGCGCGCTGAGGCCCAGTGGTAATTACTGCGCTATGGTAATTAAAGGCATGGAAAAGTACACCTCTGCAGTGAGCAGACAGGAATGAAGCCCACCACTTTCATTTTGATTGAGCGGTTTATCTTAGGCGGACTATGGCGGATACTATATGTGGCGTGCATTTTAATACTGAGGGACGTGGAGGCTTTCATCCACCCAGTCAGGAAGCAAACTGTAGCTCCCACCTTTTCTTTTGGTATTACAGAATGTGAAATGGCTCGACAGAAATAATTAAAGACATGAAAATTTACAGAATTTTCCCCAAATGTAGTCAGTCATCCAAGACATGTTTAGTGTTGAAGTTTGGTTCTTGGGCCTACAAGGTTATTGTAGCTAACAAGTAAAGAAAGCTCTCCTCTGTCAATTAGCTTTGTGCAAACTTCATTACTAAATCATTACACACTTTCTACAAATTACAGTCCTCAGTACCAAGAGTTGGGACAGTGTGTGAACTGCTAATAAAAACAGAAAGTGGTGATTAGTAAATTCTGTTTGATCTACATTGAAAATTGTGACTCGATGTCAATGCCATGTTGAAACAAACATGGATATCCCTGAAAAAGACATTGTCTAGAAGTAGCTTGCATTGCCTGAAAATGTGTACATATCTTTCAGTTTTACTGATGCCTTCAGAGATGTGCAAGTTACTGATGCCATGTATGCCAAGATGCCAGGTTATACACCCCATCACAGTCCCTGGCTATTGAACGTACGTGGGTAATAATCTGAATAGTTCTTTGCTTGTTTGTTGCAGAAAACACAACCCCATATTTTTTCATAAACAGTCTGAAAAGTTGACCACCAGACCACCTTGTTTCCACTGTGCATCAGTCCATTTCCAATGAGCTCGAGCCCAGAGAAGTCGGCAGCGTTTCTGTATATTGATGATATGGCTTCTGCTGTGCATACAGTACAGACTTAACTTTTAACATTTGTGGATGCAGCAACATACAGTGTTTACTGGCATAAAATAATCGTAGTATTCCCCATGTGATGACATCCATCACAGAAGCATGTCAGAATTAATGCGGTGCCATCTGAGGGATCGAAGGCCATGGGCATTCAGTTACCTAAAATCCTTGTAATTGAAAGTTGAAGAACTTTATTCTTAAACAGCTGTTGCATTTTTTCCCAAAGTGGCGAGCCCTGACCCATCCTTGATCATAAAGGACTAGACTTTTCCTGGATGCTCTTATACCCAAACATAATTGCATCACTTGTTTAAGGTGTTTTTTGAATGTTTCACAATGTACCTAGTCTTAAATTGCTCCTGTCCCAACTTTTTTGAAATGTGCTTCAGGCATCAATTTCAGAATGAGTGTGTATTTATAAAAACAATGACGTTTTGCTCCTTTTATAGACAGCATATTATACAGTGTCACAAACCACATAAGCAGGTCTTATTCTGATAACAGTTTGATGCTAATTGGTAGGCTCAGGTCTCATTACCTGTTAGCTACACCAGCCTTAAAGCTTCAGTGCAAAACTAATGAAGCAAACTTTGGACACCAAACTGTTAAACTGCAGGGAAAGTTGAGAAAACTACCGCTTGTAATTCCAGATGATTGAACATCGAGGCTGTCCAATTATGAAAGCCTGTCTTGTGGATCGTCTTCTCAAGGTTTCATCCTGAATTGTGTCTGTCTTCTGCTCTAATGATGAATCAACAAGCCTGTAGTGGACAGATATTTTCTCTATGTGATTGTCGCCTTGCCAGAGATGTTCATTTCTTTCGGTTCACTTCTGTTTACCAGCTTCACTGAGTGCCATTTCTGTTTTCTTCCAACCTTTTCTGATAAACCTGCCAGGAACACTTAATGACAGCAGAACTGGCTGCCAGACGTCTGCGTTAGCGGGCTGAGATGGCGTGCGAATCATTTCCAAACACATTCTTACTTCTTGAACTGGCTCTGATATCGCTGGCCGTCTCATTGTTGAAATCGAAATGCGACTTAATTAGCTATGATGTTGTGAAGCAGTCGCAATCTACTTTTCTACAGTGGCGTTTTTGCTTGAAGGGAATAGGTAAAAAAAAAAACAAATGAAAGCCATGTGAGGCTAATTCATGGTCTGTGAAAGTCGAGTAATAATGTAGCAGAACAAATTGGAGTTGGTAATTTCCTTTCCTTCTTTTTCAAAAGCAAAACTGTTTATTGGGTGTTGGAGCGGGACGTTGAGGTTGAGTTTGAGAAGGCGCAGGTAACTTCTCAGGTGACTTCTCAACAATGGACTCTACCATATGTGCTTTAGCTTTTATTTATCTCTGTCTTACGGCTTCTATCATATATGCCTAGTTGGCCACTTTACCCCCTTCTTTTGTACGCATGATTGACTGAAGGTCACCCAAAGTGTTGGGTCACCATAAGCCACCAGAACAGATTGCATGCGCCTAGGTATACATTCTACAAGTCTCTGGAGCTGTGCTGAAGGGACGGACACTACTCTTCCAAGAGATATCCTCTCAGTTGGTGCTTTGATGATGATGGTGGAGAGCACTGTCTAACTCATAACTCCTAAATCTTCCATAGGTGTTCAGTTGGGTTGAGATCTGGTGACTGAAAAGACCATAGAGTATGATTTACATCATTTTCATACCTATCGAATCATTTAATAGCCTCTTGTGCCCTGACACTGGGGTCACTGACCACTCCCATCAAAGAAGAAGAGGTCCCTCTAAGAGGACAATTGGATCCAAACCACACCAGCAAAATATCCCCACAGCATTACAGAGCCGCCGGACCCAGGCCTATTAGGGTCACCAATGGCCGCCTGTACCGTTGTCTTGGTATACGCCACACATGCACTCTCCCACTTGTGGAAAACATGGTGTGGGATGAATTGTCTCACTGTGTCCCATTTTGCCGCATCTTTGTAGACCAATTCCAGTGGTTTCTATGGTTTTTATGCACTGCAACCCTATTTTGACACCCCCTTCTACGTAGTTGCGGACAGACTGTTCTTGCAGACACAGTCTGTTCACGTCCAGTGACATTCTCAGTCACCTGAGGAACTGTTTTTCACTGACTGGATATTGTGCTATTGTTTTTATGTCCTCACATCGTCTGCATATGACTGGACTGGTGCAACTATTTACTTGTTGAAAAATGCATGAGAGTTTTTTTTTTTCTTTTTCATAGATGTGCTCAGCTATTCTTGATAGTCCTAGCATCTTATCAAGCTTTTCCCCCCAGTGTCCCCTGAGCCTGTGCTGTATCACGGTAACATTTTACTGCTTTTCTGTCTTACTTTCCTAACTGCATACATAATGGAGTTGGGGTATTTGCAATGCATCTTTTTCCTTCTAGATGTCCCTTCTAAATGTGTTTTTACTGTGAGAAATTCAAAGCCTAATGGAATCACGGCCGCATCACATTTCCCCCGAGTAAAAACACATTTAGACAGATAGATAGAAATTGTATTGATCCCTAAGGAAAATGCAGTTACACCAGCAAACAGAAACCATGTATTCATACGTATATTGGAAGACTAAAGGGCATAGAGGCCCCTAAATGAATGCTGGTGAATGCTTTTCATGAGAATTCATTGAGATTTCTTAACAACGTTTGCAGTTTGGGGTAGGCCATCACTTGTAGCCTATATTAGCTTTGTAGCTCCAGTGCAAACCTAAAGAACCAAACGTGTCATTGCTGA